TAGAAGTGATTAAAACTGTTTAAAATCATTTATGAGCCTTTTTATTGTCTAAAAATCAATTGGATCATCTTTACAAAGTCCAAAAATTATTTGGAAGCACCTAAATTCGTTCAGAAATGCGACAACTTTTTATCAAGTCATTTATTAATCATTTAAAGTTGTCTAAATGATTTCGGAAATTTATCCGACTACTTTTAAGATTGTCTGATTCATCTAAAATTGTCTAAAAAACACTTATCAATGTTTGAAGTTGTCTAAAATCGCTTAAAAGTATTTGTTATTACCTAAATATAATTTTAGAATAATTAAAATTGTCTACGAATTCCTGTAAAAGTTTTGAACTTGTTCAAAATTGGTTGAAATTCGCTTTGAATTCTGCTTAATATTTAAAGTTGTCTAAATACTTTTAGAGAACGGTTAGAAGTGACTAAAATTGTTTAAAATCATTTATGAACCTTTTGTGTTGTCTAAAAATCATTTGGAACATCTTCAAAAAGTCTAAAAATTATTTAGAAACTTCTAAAATTGTGTGGAATTGCGACAACTTTGTATCAAGTCATTTATTAATCATTTAAAGTTGTCTAAATGATTTCGGAAATTTATCCGACTACTTTTAAGATTGTCTGATTCATCTAAAATTGTCTAAAAAACACTTATCAATGTTTGAAGTTGTCTAAAATCGCTTAAAAGTATATAATGTTACCTAAAAGTAATTTTGGAGTCTCAAAAATTGTCTATGAATGCCTTTGAAAGTTTTGAACTTGTCCAAAATTGATTGAAACTTGCTTTGAATCCTGCTTAAAATTTAAAGTTGTCCAAATACTTTTGGAGAACGATTAGAAGTGACTAAAATTGTTTAAAATCATTTATGAGCCTTTTTATTGTCTAAAAATCNTATCATTTCCGTATTACAAAAAATCAATGAGTTATGATTTTTTGAAAATTACACAAAAATATTACAAATTGACATACACAATTTATTTTGAATCCAATTATCTCAGAAACTAATCGAGATACACGAGAACATTTTTTTTAATTAAAAAGTACGTACTTTTCTTTATTATTTTGGTATAAGTTTCATTTCGATATCATAAAAAATCGATGAGTTATGATTTTTTGAAAATTACTCAAAAATATTACTTACAAGTTAACATACACGATTTAATTTCAATCCAATTATCTCAGAAACTAATCGAGATACGCCAGTACATTTTTCTTTATTAAAAAGTACGTACTTTGCTCTACTATTTTGGTACTAGTTTCATTTTCGTACATAAAAAATCGATGAGTTATGATTTTTTGAAAATGACCCAAAAATATTATAAGTTAACATACACGATTTAATTTGAACCCAATTATCTCAGAAACGAATTGAGATACACCAGAACAGTTTCTTTCATTAAAAAGTACGTACTTTGGTGTACTATTTTGGTACAAGTTTCATATCCGTATCATAAAAAATCGATGAGTTATGATTTTTTGAAAATTACTCAAAAATATTACTCTCAAGTTAACAGACACGATTTAATTTGAACCCAATTATCTCATAAACTAAACGAGATACACCAGAACTCTTCTTTTTCCTAAAAAGTACGCACTTTGGTCTACTATTTTTGTACAAGTTTCATTTTGATATCATAAAAAATCGATGAGTTATGATTTTTTGAAAATTGCTCAAAAATATTATAAATTAACATACACGATTTAATTTGAATCCAATTATTTCAGAAACTAATCGCGATACACCAGAATATATTTTTAAATTAAAAAGTACGTACTTTTCTTTATTATTTTGGTACAAGTTTAATTTCGGTATCATAAAAAATTATTGAGTTATGATTTTTTGAAAATGACTCAAAAATATTACAAGTTAACATATACGATTTAATTTGAACCCAATTATCTCATAAAGTAAACGAGATACACCAGAATATATTTTTAAATTAAAAAGTACGTACTTTTCTTTATTATTTTGGTAGAAATTTAATTTCGGTATCATAAAAAATTATTGAGTTATGATTTTTTGAAAATGACTCACAAATATTACAAGGTAACATACACGATTTAATTTGAACCCAATTATCTCATAAACTAAACGAGATACACCAGAACTCTTTTTTTTTCTTAAAAAGTACGCACTTCGGTCTACTATTTTCGTACAAGTTTCATTTTGATATCATAAAAAATCGATGAGTTATGATTTTTTGAAAATGACTCAAAAATATTACTCCCAAGTTAACATACACGATTTAATTTGAATCCAATTATCTCACAAACTAATCGAGATACGCCAGTACATATTTCTTTATTGAAAAGTACGTAGTTTGCTCTACTATTTTGGTACTAGTTCCATTTTCGTATCATAAAAAATTGATGAGTTATGATTTTTTGAAAATGGCTCAAAAATATTACTCCCAAGATAACATACACGATTTAATTTGAATCCAATTATCTCAGAGACTAATCGAGATACACGAAAATATTTTTTTTAATTAAAAAGTACGTACTTTTCTCTACTATTTTGGTACTAGTTTCATTTTCGTGTCATAAAAAGTCGATGAGTTATGATTTTTTGAAAATGACTCAAAAATATTACTCCTAAGTTAACATACACGATTTAATTTGAATCCAATTATCTCAGAAACTAATCGAGATACGCCAGAAATTATTTTTTAATTAAAAAGTACGTACTTTGCTCTACTATTTTGGTATGAGTATCATTTTCCTATTATAAAAAATCGATGAGTTACACAAAATTACACAAAAATATTACAAATTGACATACACGATTTATTTTAAATCCAATTATCTCAGAAACTAATCGAGATACGCCAGTACATTTTTCTTTATTAAGAAGTACGTAGTTTGCTCTACTATTTTCGTACTAATTTCATTTTCGTATCATAAAAAGTCGATAAATTATGATTTTTTGAAAATGGCTCCACAATATTTAAAGGTTACCATACACGATTTAATTTGAATCCAATTATCTCAGAAACTAATCGAGATACGCCAGAAATTGTTTTTTAATTAAAAAGTACGTACTTTGCTCTACTATTTTGGTATAAGTATCATTTCCGTATTACAAAAAATCGCTGAGTTATGATTTTTTGAAAATTACACTAAAATATTACAATTGACATACACGATTTATTTTAAATCCAATTATCTCAGAAACTAATCGAGATACGCCAGAAATTGTTTTTTAATTAAAAAGTACGTACTTTGCTCTACTATTTTGGTATAAGTATCATTTCCGTATTACAAAAAATCGCTGAGTTATGATTTTTTGAAAATTACACTAAAATATTACAATTGACATACACGATTTATTTTAAATCCAATTATCTCAGAAACTAATCGAGATACGCCAGAAATTGTTTTTTAATTAAAAAGGACGTACTTTGCTCTACTATTTTGGTATAAGTATCATTTCGGTATTATAAAAAATCGATGAGTTATGATTTTTTGAAAATTACACAAAAATATTACAAATTGACATACACGATTTATTTTGAATCCAATTATCTCAGAAACTAATCGAGATACGCCAGTACATTTTTCTTTATTAAAAAGTACGCAGTTTGCTCTACTATTTTGGTACTAGTTTTATTTTCGTATAATAAAAAATCGATGAGATATGATTTTTTGAAAATGGCTCAAAAATATGACTTCCAAGATAACATACACGATTTAATTTGAATCCAATTATCTCAGAAATTAATCGAGATACGGCAGAAATTGTTTTTTAATTAAAAAGTACGTACTTTGCTCGACTATTTTGGTATAAACATCATTTCCGTATTATAAAAAATCGATGAGTTATGATTTTTTGAAAATTACACAAAAATATTACAAATTGACATACACGATTTAATTTGAATCCAATTATCTCAGAAACTAATCGAGATACGCCAGAAATTGTTTTTTAATTAAAAAGTACGTACTTTGCTCTACTATTTTGGTATAAGTATCATTTCCGTATTATAAAAAATCGATGAGTTATGATTTTTTGAAAATTACACAAAAATATTACAAATTGACATACACGATTTATTTTGAATCCAATTATCTCAGAAACTAATCGAGATACGCCAGTACATTTTCCTTTATTAAAAAGTACGTAGTTTGCTCTACTATTTTGGTACTGGTTTCATTTTCGTATCATAAAAAATCGATGAGTTATAATTTTTTGAAAATGACCCAAAAATATTATAAGTTAACATACACGATTTAATTTAAATCCAATTATCTCAGATACTAATTAAGATACGCCAGAACATTTTCTTTTATTAAAAAGTACGTGCTTTGTTCTACTATTTTGGTATAAGTATCATTTCCGTATTACAAAAAATCGATGAGTTATGATTTTTTGAAAATGACTCAAAGTTATTATAAGTTAAAATACACGATTTAATTTAAAAATTATTATCTCAAAATCTAATCGAGATACGCCGGAGCATATTTTTTATTGATAAGTGTGTATTTTGCTTTATAATTTGGTAAAAGTTTCATTTCTGTATCATAAAAAACGATGTTATCATTTTGAAAATTTAAACTTTAAATGGGAGGATTTAAAAAAAATTTTTTTTGTACATATATTTATTGATTTACTTTATAAGTAGGTAATAATTTTTACATTGAACAATTATTTAATGTGCATTTTTTTAATTCAACTTTAAATAATTACAATTCTTTTAAATACACTTGATTAATTCAATTTCATTTTAATTAGGTTGTATTGCAAAGCACCTAAAGTACTTTTTGCTTTAAATTCTTGATTTTCTTCACCAATTTAATCGGTCTATAAAAATATACATATTTTTTTCGGTACTCCGAAATAAATTCATCGAATTCCCTTCATATTTATTTATAATAATCCACTCATCACGCATTTTACGATCTATTGCTATTTGAAAATAAGTTGAGTACGTGATGGTAGAGAAAGAAAATTATTGTAGCAGAGTTTAGGACCTGATAAACAGATAAAGAGCGAAGTATATATTTTTTTCGGATTTAATTCCACCGAAAGAAATGCACTTTTTTATTAAATTCTAGACGTAAAAAACAGCCGTACACAGTATCACAGAAACAACATTTTAAAACCTATTTCAGTACATCGATAAATAGAGGATAAAATTCATTGGATTCTTTTTAATGTGGTCACAACGCGTACACCTAAGTGCAAGAAGTTATTTGGTTACATACAAAATGGTCCTGGGGGTTCACAGTTAACGATCAGTCGACAATTAACATTTATCTTTTTTTATAAATAAAAAAATTTAAATGATAAAATTAAATTATTTCTTTGAAATAACAACTTTACATGGACTACATGGGATTTAATCTAAAAACAGAAACATTTGCTTCATCCGTTGGTTTATTATCCCAAATTGCTGCAGCACCTCTAAAAATACAAAAATATTTCCAAAACTAAACGAATCCGATTTTATTTTACTCACGCAGCACATTTTTCAGGATATCTCAAAGCTTGATGCCACAATATCAAGGCTAAGATTATTGACCAAGTTCTTAATGGACCTAAAATAAACGCCATGGTTCCGTAGGCAAGCCAAAAAAAATAAGCCATAAAAATTTGTATACTGATTAAAATCAAAAAGGGTAAATGAAGTGCTAAAATTTTTTTGCACGATGTTGGTTTACTGATATTTAAAACGATGTTCTTGTAACGATGATTAACTCCACTCGCCAAAATGAATGTAATCGGAATTTGAAAAGTTACAAACTAAAATATACATTTAATGTAACAAAGTTAAAGTTAAATTTAATATATTACTTGTAAAAAGCCGTAAAAGTAGGTGAATGATCCAGGTAAAAATTTATTGTTGATGTAAATTCCCCAGGGAAAAATAAACCCGATGTGATCTTCAATTATGTAACCAACTGACCAAGGTCCTATGCATAAATAAATCGGGTACAGGACTAAAGGGTAAAATATTCGATCTATTGATGATAAAATCCATAAACGACGAAACCAAGTCTTAAAAAAACCTTGACGAAGACTTGGTTTATTTATTTTTTCTTCTAAAACAAAACAAAAATAAAATAAAATATAAAATCTTATTTTAACCAATACTTTTTACTAATCGATGTAAAATTCGACAAATTATTAATGGAATTATTGAAGCCACCATTGCAGATCCAAACATTGCTTTAAACTAAAAATAAATTAATTCATAAAAAGATTATAATAAAATTATTTCTAAAAACTTACAACTGTACTTGCATCAGTCATTAATGCTACTCTAGCTAAAAATGAAAAAGCAGTTCTTTTTCCATCTAAAGAGAACCGACTTTTTTCCATTTTGTATCGGCCATCTTCATCTTTTGCAAAAACCTAAAAATAAAAATAAGTTTTTAGTAATAAGTCTTTAGTTTAATACGTTTATTTATTTATTTATTAAACGGTATGAAACACCAAGATTATTGTTGAAAGAATTATGAAGCAGAGTTATTTGGGACGTTTCATTCTTATTTTAAATACTCTATAATCTAGTAGTGCATCATTTCAATATTCACCAGATGAATCAATTTTTTGGGGTTCAGTATCTATAACGTTTAGTTCCAGATCTATAGCATCAAGAAGTATGATTGATTTCAGTATTTAGTTGTTGATTCTATGGATGAATCTAGAATTCGATGGTTGATTCATGTTTGGAGCAGTATTCATAGTGATTGATTCTAGCATCAAGCAGTTAGACTCCTTTTTCGTAACGATTAGAACTCGTGTCTAATAAATAATTCCAGGATATTGTTCAGAATTCAGAGATATATAGCATTGAGAAGCTAGATATAGTTTCCAGAATGCTTAGAACCTAAGTGTATTGGTTAATTCCAGTACTTAGAGTATGACTTCAGCGTTCATTCCAGTATCCTATTACTGAAAGCACTAACTCTAATGATTGGTTTCAGTGTCCAGAAGCTAAATATAGTTTCCATAATGTTTACAACCAGAATCTAATAGTTGAATTTCTTTTGGAAGACTCCAGCACACAATTGCAGGAAACAGTACCCCATTTTTGGGGTTCATTCCAGTATTAAGCAAATTACTTCAACATTTTGTGGGTGATTTCAATATTTTATGGTTGATTTCAGTGTCCAGTGAACGATTATAGTATCCAATTACTTTGAGCACCATCCATGTTGATTGATTTCATTATTCAAAAATTAGATGCAGGTTCTGTAATGATTAGACTGAAAGTCTAGTGGTTGATTCCAGTATTCAGTGGATGATTCCAGCATTTTTTTGAAGTTTTCAGCATATTATGTACAATTTTAGTGTCACCCAATGTACAATTGTATGCCGCAGCATTCAGAATGATTGATTCCAGTGTCCAGAAATTAAACACAACTTCCATAATCATTAAAACCGGAGTATAGTGGTTGATTCCAGTATCTAGTGAATAACTCCAGTATTTTTTGGATGATTCCAGAAACGATGAAAGTTCAGTTGAAAAAAAAATTTACATTTTTCAAGAAAAAAATAGTAGTGGGTTGCATCCCCACGCGCAGTTATGTATGCATTAACTCTTCTACCCATGCTCTATATTAAGTGGTCGATGTCCTCCTGGGGTATCTAGTTCCATGCAACCTCTAGATGGTGTCGAAGTTCATCCAGATTCTCAGGAAACCTGGATACTTGTCTTAGTCGCCGACCCATCATATCCCAGGCATCGGCGACAAGTGCGGTGACAAAATCTGCAATCCAACCTGCTCCAGGAATCCTCTTGTAACCACAGCAGCATGGGGTCTTGCATTATCTTGTTGGAAAGTGGCATTCTGCAACGTTTGCATGAAAGATTGATGAACCCACTGTTACTATTCTTGACACCATGCAAGTCTTACTGCTTTATGGGGAGGTGTTAATAGAAGCCAAATGTAAGGACGGTATAAATGAAGCCCAAAAGAAAAAATTCTTCTGAGAGTAGCCATCGAGAAGTATCGGTTGAAAACTCTCATCCAATCCACAGCACACTTTCAGCCTGCCCTCAATCTTTCGGAATAAGAGACCTGCCTCTTTCATTCCGATAATTCGACCCCTATCAAAGTCATTGATATGAGCAAAATTTCGACGACGTCGCACTGGAGGCATTGCAAGGCGTCTACTTGACAGTTCGACAATCAAATAAACATACTATTGTCATAAACATACATCAAGATAGTCAAAATGTATGCACTTGGTACGGTAAGTATACATTCTATTTTAAATACATCTAGGCAGCTGTCAGTAGTTTTAAGATTGCATAAAGCTCTCACCGCCTTCTTCTGCAAACCAAAAATTCTTCCTAAGCCAGGTGAATGACCCCAAACAACTATGCCATATGTTGCAATAGCATGAAAATTTGCAAAATAGGCTATTTTGGCCATTTCATGAGATGCAATTTTGCTGAGACGTCACCACGGGTAAGTTTGAGGGTAATTTTATATCAATGACAATTGATTCTGATGAATCCAATGTGCAATTGTATGCCACAGCATCCACACTAATTGATTCCAGTGTGCAGAAGTTAAAAACAGTTTCCATAATGATTAAAACCACAGTTAAGTGGTCGATTCCAGTATCTAATAAATAACTCCAGTATTTTTTAGATGTTTCCAGCATTCTATGGTTTATTTCACTATCTCGTAGATGAACCCAATGTGCAATCGTATGCCGCAGCATCCAAGGTGATTAATTCCAGTCTCCAAAAGTTAAAAACAGTTTCTGTAATGATTAAAACCAGAGTTAAGTGGATGATTCCAGCATCTAGTGAATAACTCTACTATTTTTTGGATTTTTTCAGCATTGTATGGTTTATTTCAGTATCTCGTAGATGAATCCAATGTACAATTGTATGCCACAGCATCCAAGCTGATTAATTCCAGTGTCTAGAAGTTAAAAACAGTTTCTGTAATGATTAAAACCACAATCTAAAGGTTGATTCCAGCATGTAGCGAATAATTCTACTATTTTTTGGATGTTTCCAGCATTCTATGGTTTATTACAGTATTTCGTGGATGTATCCAATGTGCAATTGTGTGCTGCAGCATCCAATGTGATTGATTCCAGTGTCCAGAAGGTAAAAACAGTTTCCATAATGATTAAAACAACAGTTAACTGGTTGATTCCAGTATCTAGAGAATAACTCCAGTATCTTTTAGATGTTTCTAGCATTACACGGTTCATTTCAGTATCTCGTGGATAAATTCAATGTGCAATTGTATGCTGCAGCATCCAAAGTGATTGATTCCAGTGTCTAAAAGTTAAACACTGTTTGCATAATCATTAAAACCACAATCTAGTGGTTGGTTCCAGTATTTAGTGAAAAACTCCAGTATTTTTTTAATGTTTCTAGCATTCTATGGTTCATTTTAGTATGTTGTGGATGAATCCAATGTGCAATTGTATGCCGAAGCATCCAAAGTGATTAATTCCAGTGTCCAGAAATTTTCACAATGATTAAAATCACAATTTAGTGGCTGATTCCAGCATCTTGTAAATAACTGTACTATTTTTTGGATGTTTCCAGCATTCTATGGTTCATTTCAGTATCTCTTGGATGAATCCAATGTGCAATAGACAACCTAAGCCTTGACGTCATAGAGATGGGCGGAGCTTATGCCGACTCCAAACATTTTCGTTGCTAATTGTGTTGCTAATGGTAAATCACCATATGCAATGTTTCATTAGTATTAAAATAAAATAAACTAAGTGATGACATTTCAAATAACATTTTTTGGCAATTTATCGTTAGCAACTGAGGTTGGCAACGAAATTGTTTGGAGTCAGTATCAGCTCCGCCCATCTCTGTGACGTCAGACTTAGGCAGTCTGTTGTATGCTGCAGCATCAAAGGTGATTGATTCCAGTGTCCAGAAATTAAACACAGTTTCCATAATTATTAAAACCAGAGTTTAGTGGTTGATTCCAGTATCTAGTGATTATCTCCAGTATTTTTTGGATGTTTCCAGCATTCTATGGTTCATTTCAGTGTCTCGTGAATAAATTCAATGTGCAATTGTATGCTGCAGCATCAAAAGTAGTTGATTTCAATGTCCAGAAATTAAACATAGTTTCTATAATCATTAAAACCACAATCTAGTGATTGATTCCAGCATCTAGTGAATAACTCTACTACTTTTTGGATATTTCCAGCATTCTATGGTTTATTTCAGTATCTCGTGGATGAATCCAATGTGCAATTGTATGCTGCAGCATCCAATGTGATTGATTCCAGTGTTCAGATGTCAAAAACAGTTCCCATAGTGATTAAAACCACAGTTAAATGGTTCATTCCAGTATCAAGTGAATAACTCCAGTATTTTTTGGATGTTTCCAACATTCTATGGTTCATTTCAGTGTCCCATGGATAAATCCAATGTGCAATTGCATTCTGCAGCATCAAAAGTAATTGATTCCAATTTCCAGAAATTAGATACAGTTTCTATAATTATTAAAACCAGAGTTAAGTGGATGATTCCAGCATCTAGTGAATAACTCTACTATTTTTTGGATATTTCCAGCATTCTATGGTTTATTTCAGTATCTTGTGGATGAACCCAATGTGCAATCGTATACCGCAGCATCCAAGCTGATTAATTCCAGTGTCTAGAAGTTAAAAACAGTTTCTGTAATGATTAAAACCACAATCTAAAGGTTGATTCCAACATCTAGTGAATAACTCTACTATTTTTTGGATGTTTCCAGCATTCTATGGTTTATTTCAGTATTTCGTGAATGAATCCAATGTGCAATTGTATGCCACAGCATCCAAGGTGATTAATTCCAGTGTCCAGAAGTTAAACACAGTTTCCATAATGATTAAAACCACACTGAAGTGGTTGATTCCAGCATGTAGCGAATAATTCTACTATTTTTTGGATGTTTCCAGCATTCTATGGTTTATTTCAGTATTTCGTGGATGTATCCAATGTGCAATTGTGTGCTGCAGCATCCAATGTGATTGATTCCAGTGTCCAGAAGGTAAAAACAGTTTCCAAAATGATTAAAACCACAATTAAGTGGTTGATTCCAGTATCTAGAGAATAACTCCAGTATCTTTTGGATGTTTCTCGCATTAAACGGTTCATTTCAGTATCTCGTGGCTAAATTCAATGTGCAATTGTATGCTGCAGCATCCAAAGTGATTGATTCCAGTATCTAGTAAATAACTCTACTATTTTTTGGATGTTTCCAGCATTCTATGGTTCATTACAGTGTCTCGTGGATGAATCCAATGTGCAATTGTATGCTGCAGCATCAAAAGTAATTGATTCCAGTGTCCAAAATTAAACACTGTTTGCATAATCATTAAAACCACAATCTAGTGGTTGGTTCCAGTATTTAGTGAAAAACTCCAGTATTTTTTTAATGTTTCTAGCATTCTATGGTTCATTTCAGTATGTTGTGGATGAATCCAATGTGTAATTGTATGCTGCAGCATTCAAAGTGATTAATTCCAATGTCCAGAAATTGATTAAAATCACAATTTAGTGGCTGATTCCAGCATCTTGTAAATAACTGTACTATTTTTTGGATGTTTCCAGCATTCTATGGTTCATTTCAGTACCTCTTGGATGAATCCAATGTGCAATAGACAACCTAAGCCTTGACGTCATAGAGATGGGCGGAGCTTATACCGACTCTAAACATTTTCGTTGTTAATTGTGTTGTTAACGGTAAATCACCATATGCAGTGATGCAAGTGATGACATTTTTTGGCGATTTATCGTTAGCAACTGTGGTTGGCAACGAAATTGTTTGGAGTCAGTATCAGCTTCGCCCATCTCTGTGACGTCAGACTTAGGCAGTCTATTGTATGCTGCAGCATCAAAAGTAATTGATTTCAGTGTCCAGAAATTAAACACTGTTTGCATAATCATTAAAACCACAATGTAGTGATTGGTTCCAGTATCTAGTGAATAACTCCAGTATTTTTTTGATGTTTCCAGCTTTCTATGGTTTATTTCAGTATCTCGTAGATAAACCCAATGTGCAATCGTATGCCGCAGCATCCAAGGTGATTAATTCCAGTCTCCAGAAGTTAAAAACAGTTTCTGTAATGATTAAAACCACAGTTAAGTGGATGATTCCAGCATCTAGTGAATAACTCTACTATTTTTTTGATGTTTCTAGCATTCTATGGTTTATTTCAGTATCTCGTGGATAAATTCAATGTGCCATTGTATGCTGTAGCATCTAAAGTGATTGATTCCAGTATCCAGAAGACAGTTTTTATAACGATTAAAATCACAATTTAGTGGTTAATTCCAGCATCTAGTAAATAAATCTACTACTTTTTGGATGTTTCCAGCATTCTATGGTTCATTACAGTGTCTCGTGGTTGAATCCAATGTGCGATTGTATGCTGCAGCATCAAAAGTAATTGATTCCAGTGTCTAAAAATTAAACAGTTTGCATAATCATTAAAACCACAATCTAGTGGTTGGTTCCAGTATTTAGTGAAAAACTCTAGTAGTTTTTTAATGTTTCCAGCATTCTATGGTTCATTTCAGTATGTTGTGGATGAATCCAATGTGCAATTGTATGCTGCAGCATCAAATGTGATTAATTCCAATGTCCAGAAATTTTCACAATGATTAAAATCACAATTTAGTGGCTGATTCCAGCATCTTGTAAATAACTGTACTATTTTCTGGATGTTTCCAGCATTCTATGGTTCATTTCAGTATCTCTTGGATGCATCCAATGTACAATAGACAACCTAAGCCTTGACGTCATAGAGATGGGCGGAGCTTATACCGACTCCAAACATTTTCGTTGCTAATTGTGTTGTTAACGGTAAATCACCATATGCAGTGATGCAAGTGATGACATTTTAAATGACATTTTTTGGCGATTTATCGTTAGCAACTGAGGTTGGCAACGAAATTGTTTGGAGTCAGTATTAGCTCCGCCTATCTCTCTGACGTCAGACTTAGGCAGTCTATTGTATGCTGCAACATCAAAAGTAATTGATTTCAGTGTCCAGAAATTAAATACTGTTTGCATAATCATTAAAACCACAATGTAGTGATTGGTTCCAGTATCTAGTGAATAACTCCAGTATCTTTTTGATGTTTCCAGCATTCTATGGTTAATTTCAGTGTCTCGTGTATAAATCCAATGTGCAATTATATGCCGTAGCATCCAAAGTGATTGATTCCAGTGTCTAGAAATTCAACATATTTCCATAATGATTAAAACCACAACTTAGTGGTTGATTCCAGCATCTAGTGAATAATTCCAGTATTTTTTTAATGTTTCTAGCATTCTATGGTTCATTTTAGTATCTCGTAGATGAACCCAATATGCAATTGTATGCCGCAGCTATCAAACTAATTGATTCCAGTGTCCAGAAGATAAACACTAATTAATTAAACACAATAATTAGAGTATTTCTCGGATAATTTTAACATTAGTTGGTTTCATTGTGTTATTGTGGGCTGCAGCAATAATAATCACTCCTGCTTTCAGTGTCCAGAAATTAAACACAATTTTTGTGTTGCCTAGAACCAGACTCTAGGAGTTTTCTTTTGATATCTAAAGTGTAATTAGCTGATTGCTTGCATTTGTATTATTCCGCTTTGAATAATAGAAAAAAAAGAGAACATAAAAAATTAAAAACTGTTTACTTACTTCTAAAGTATGCATACCAAAAGTATACATTTCTGGGCTCCATTCGATAACATACAAAGGTCCCCGATCAACATTTCGGCATTCCCTCCAATGTTCTGAGTCGATTCGAATTTTAACGGTCTCAATTTTTCCCAAAGAAAAGACCAAAACGCGAATATGAGAAGAATTAAGGATAACGCCAGCTTCGTCTCTTCCCACCAACATGAACTGTTCATGTTTCGGATTTGTGACCAAAATAATCGGCCAATCTCGATGATTAACGTCGACAAACGAAAATGTACCATGATCAATCGCCATCAAACGAAATCTATTTTTGTTTTATTTTTTTCATTTTAATCACAAAAATGATAAAAATAAATTAATCTTTACCTACGATTATCTTTCCAGTCGCCCAATTCCAATTCCAAGTAACCTTCGCGTTGCAAAGTGTACATATTTGGAACTAAACCACCTAAAGTATGCAAATGACCGCAAACGTAAACTATCGATTGATCTAATTCCCCAATAATGTCTCTAATCGTTTGATCGCCGTCTGTTACTATACAAGATGTTGGGAAATGTCCAAACCAAACGGTGTGATTACTTCCGGTCGATTTAACTCTTTTAATTAATTTATGGATGAGAGTTACTTCATCGTTTTCGAGCATTCCAACGAAATTAAATGGGCGTTTTGGGCCTGGTTCTAAACAGGCATCGACCCCTATGAACGAATAGATTTGATCGTGACGTTTTATTTGATACATGTATGATCTGGAATGTTTTCTGCCTTGGATTGAAAAGTTGGGAAAAAAGTTTTCTTTCGATTCAAAATTTACTACATTAAAATTATCTAAAAAATTAATTTTGCCAGATTAAAAGATTCATCTTAGATAAAATTAAAATTACTCACCATGATTACCACGTATATCCAACCATACAGTTTTATGTTCAATATTGCATTCCTTTAAAACATTCTTGTAATACTCCCATTCTTGTTTAATTTGTTTTGAACCAATGTTATCTTTCGTTTTGGCATCGGTTAAATCACCAGATGCTAAAACAACAACTGGTTTTATAATGTCTATTGTTTGGTCACAAAACTCTTTTAATTCGGTTATTCTAAATGGATCTCTAAACACACTTATATGAATATCAGTTATCTAAAAAAAAATTGATTTTGGAAATTTTATCTGTAATTTTATTCATTTATGTACCTGAAGAAACCAAATTAAATTACTAGCTGTATCAGTCATAGGAATAAACTTTTCTTTATCGATAATCCTTTCCTGTTTAACATATATCACATCGTTATTTAATAAATTCGTTACGTTTGCGATGAATACCGAAAAAAGGATCATTGAGACCAGGGCCAAAAACGCCGTTTTGCTAATACGCATTATTTGTGTCTTGGTTTTAACCCGTTTATTAACATCGTTTCTTTTTTGCTCTTTATTATTATTATTTGTTATTTTTAATCAATCAACTTTGCACTACTTATTTACTTTTTACCAATTATACAATAACTTAAAACATTTTTTTTTCGATTCGCGGTATCTTCAACGATTAATTTTCGCCCGATTTTTTACTTTTCTTATTTTATATCGTTTTGTCACGGACTAACCGCGAGTTTTTGTCATCTGGATGTCACGCCAAATGTCATTTGGGGTTTTAGCTCCTGCTACTGCCTGCTCCTGCTATCAATAAACCTAAGGTGACTTTATTGATTCTACAAACCGAAATTGAATAGGAAATTTAAATATCGTCCTGCTAAATCGGTTTAAGTTTTACTATTAAATGTTAGATGGCGCTACCAATATTTCTTAACTGTTTTCGTTCTTTACCTTACTTCCTTCTGGAACATCTCTAAAAATTTGTTAAAAACAAACATATTAAGTTATTTGTGGTTGAGAGGGTATAAGGAAGAAACACAAAGTTATTTACAGCTATTTCTGTCTTCCTTTTTGCCTTCTTTAAATATTTATGAAAGAAGGAAGATGGAAAGAAGTCAGAAAGATTATAGTTTTTCATGCACGATTTTTATGACTTTTTGCCTTTCTATTGGATTATTTCTGGTTATATTCAGTGCAGGTAACAAAAAGAAAAACTGTTTCTGAGTTTAGCTACTTTTTTATTATCTTATGTCTGTCTGGTTGGCTTTTAATCATCTTCTTCCGCCTACTTTTAAAGCTTAAATCAAAGTAAACGCATTCGATCATCACATTCCTTATTAATTTCTTTGCTGTTCTTCTGAGTTTACTGACTTTCTTTGCTTTTTTCCTGACTTCTCCTTAAGTATTGAAAAAGAATTAGAAGTAAGGCACGTGACAAAAATGGTACCGTATTAAGATGTAATGTGCGAGGAGACAAAAATGATAAGACAGAAATGTGGCAGAAAGTAATTAGAAAAAAGGCAGAAGAAGTCAGAAAAGATAAATTTTTTTTCAGGTATCTTCTTTTTGTCTTTTTTGGCATAATTTTTGTCACTTCCATAAATGTCTAATAGCCAGGAAAAAGGAGACAAAAATATTACAAGTTTTCTTTGCTTATATTATTTTAATTTTATGCCAGCTTGAAAGCAGAAAAAGAATTTGAAAGATGCATTCTTAGGCATCTTTCAAATTCTTTTTCTGCAACCCAACCTAATAAGTTTTATATCTAAAAAAGTGATGTACTTCTAAAACAAATATCTCAATAACTATTTGGTATTTTCAAAAACGGTTTTTACCATTAGAAAGATCACACATTCTTTAATAAGTAGTGATGATTTTGTGATTGTATCTAATAAATTAGATTTATAACGATTTTTTAAAAATAACCTAATAAATTTTATATCTAAAAAAAATGATGTAATTCTAAAACAAATATCTCAAAAACTATTTGGTATTTTCAAAAACGGTTTTTATTATTAAAAAGATCACACATTCTTTAATAAGTTGTGATAATTTTGTGATTGTATCTAATAAATTAGATTTATAACGATTTTTTAAAAATAACCTAATAAATTTTATATCTAAAAAAATGATGTAATTCTAAAAGAAATATTTCAAAAACTATTTGGTATTTTCAAAAACGGTTTCTACCATTAAAGAGATCACAAATTCTTTAATAAGTTGTGATGATTTTGTGATTGTATCTAATAAATTAGATATATAACGATTTTTTAAAAATAACCTTATAAATTTTATATCTAAAAAAGTGATATAATTCTGAAACAAATATCTCAAAAATGATTTGGTATTTTTAAAAACGGTTTTTACCGTTAAAAAGATCACACATTCTTTAATAAGTTGTGATGATTTTATGATTATATCTAATGAATTAGATTTATAACGATTTTTCAAAAATTACCTTATAAATTTTATATATAAAAAAGTGATGTAATTCTAACACAAATATCTCAAAAACTATTTTGTATTTTCAAAAGCGGGTTTTACCATTAAAAAGATCACACATTCTTTAATAAGCTGTGATGATATTGTGATGGTATCTAATAAATTAGATTTATAACGATTTTTCAAAAATAACCTTATAAATTTTATATCTAAAAAAGTGATGTAATTCTAAAACAAATATCTCAAAAACTGTTTGGTATTTTCAAAAACGGTTTTTACCATTAAAAAGATCACACATTCTTTAATAAGTTATGATGATTTTGTGATGGTATCTAATAAATTAGATTTATAACGATTTTTTAAAAATAATCTTATAAATTTTATATCTAAAAAAATGACGTAATTCTAAAAGATATATCTCAAAAACTATTAGGTATTTTCAAAAACGGTTTTTACCATTAAAGAGTTCACAAATTCTTTAATAAGTTGTGATGATTTTGTGATCGTATCTAATAAATTAGATATATAACGATTTTTTAAAAATAACCTTATAAATTTTATATCTAAAAATGTGATATAATTCTGAAACAAATATCTCAAAAATGATTTGGTATTTTTAAAAACGGTTTTTACCGTTAAAAAGATCACACATTCTTTAATAAGTTGTGATGATTTTGTGATTATATCTAATGAATTAGATTTATAACGATTTTTCAAAAATTACCTTATAAATTTTATATATAAAAAAGTGATGTAATTCTAACACAAATATCTCAAAAACTATTTGGTATTTTCAAAAACAGGTTTTACCATTAAAAAGATCAGACATTCTTTAATAAGTTGTGATGATTTTGTGATTGTATCTAATAAATTAGATTTATGACGATTTTTTAAAAATTACCTTATAAATTTTATATCGAAAAAAGTTATGTAATTCTAAAACAAATATCTCAAAAACTATTTGGTATTTTCAAAAACGGTTTTTATTATTAAAAAGATCACACATTCTTTAATAAGTTGTGATAATTTTGTGATTGTATCTAATAAATTAGATTTATTACAATATTTTAAAAATAACTTTATAAATTTTATATATAAAAAACTGATGTAATTCTAAAAAAAATATCTCAAAAACTATTTGGTATTTTCAAAAACTGTTTTTACCATTAAAAAGATCACACACTTTTTAATAAGTTGTGATGATTTTGTGATGGTATCTAATAAATTAGATGTATAACGATTTTTTAAAAATAACCTTATAAATTTTATATCTAAAAAAATTATGTAATTCTAAAACAAATATCTCAAAAACTATTTGGTATTTTCAAATACGGTTTCTACCATTAAAGAGATCACAAATTCTTTAATAAGTTGTGATGATTTTGTGATTGTATCTAATAAATTAGATTTATAACGATTTTTTAAAAATAACCTTATTTATAATTTTATATCTAAAAAAGTGATGTTATTCTAAAACAAATATCTCAAAAACTATTTGGTATTTTCAAAAACGGTTTTTACCATTAAAAAGATCACGCATTCTTTAATGATTTGGTGATGCTTTTGTGATGATATCTAATACATTAGATTTATAACGATTTTTCAAAAAATATCTTATAAATTTTATATCTAAAAAAGTGATGTAATTCTAATACAAATATCTCAAAAACTATTTGGTATTTTCAAAAACGGTTTTTACCATTAAAAAGATCACACATTCTTTAATAAGTTGTGATGATTTTGTAATGGTATCTAATAAATTAGATTTATAACGATTTTTTAAAAATAACCTTATAAATTTTATATCTAAAAAAGTGATGTAATTCTAAAACAAATATCTCAAAAACTATTTGATATTTTCAAAAACGGTTTTTACCATTAAAAAGATCACACATTCTTTAATAAATTTTGACGATTTTGTGATGGTATCTAATAAATTAGATTTATAACGATTTTTTAAAAATAACCTTATAAATTTTACATCTAAAAAGGTGATGTAATTCTAAAACAAATATCTCAAAAACTATTTGGTATTTTCAAAAACAGTTTTTACCATTAAAAAGTTCACACTTTATTTAATAAGTCGTCATGATTTTATAATGGTAGCTAATAAATTAGATTTATAACGAAGAAAGAAATCTTTTCTCTCTTTTTCTTGTCTCTTCCTGGTTTCGCTTTATCGTCATAGCATGTTAAAGATCACAAAGTGTTGTTCCGGCTTTTTTGCTTTCTTGCTAATTTTTTCTTAAATATTAAAAAAGAATTAGAAATAAGACACGAAACGAAAATATTACCGAATTAAGAAGTAATGTGCAAGAAACTTGCAGCGAGAAGGCAAAAGGAGTTATTTGATTTTCTTTCGGCATCTTTCTGATTTCTAAAAGCACTGATTCCAGAAATGTGGCAGAAAGTAAGTTTGTTGTGTGATGATCAGATTCGGGTTGATCTAAGTTCAAGAAGATGTATCTTTTTGATTTCTTGAGACAATTGTACCAGAACTGAGGCAGAAAAGAACCAGAAACTTACTTAAACAAAATTAATCTGGAAAGAACATTATTTTCTGCTTCCATCTTCAGGAATTTTTAATGAAAGAAGTTTTTTAATGAAATTTAATTTACATTTAGTAATAAAAAATATCAATATGTATATAAAGAAGATAGAAAGATGTCGTATGAGAAAGAAGATATTAATAGTAGGGGTCCCGTGTACGAGATGCAACATAACACAGTAATGGTGCGGTGAAGAGAGAAACAAGGGGGGAGTTGTTGCCCAGGTGCACGGCTCGGGGGCATGCATTCCGGACAAAACACGCGCTGTTTGCTCATCCTCGCGACTTCGCGCGGTGTTTTCCCCCCCTTCTATCTCCTCGCCAGAGCCCCAATGGCCCCCCCCGGCTACTAACCTAAACGCCATCTGACCCAGGGGAATCAATTACCACCGCCCGATTGTGTCTCACTACTTACTATTGCCATTTAAATTGACCCGTCCACCGAGGATCGATCAATCAATTACACACGCACTCATTGTTATTGTCAATTTCATTTGAAAAAGAAAGAAGATCTTTTTGAATATAAATTGTTGTATAGTTGAATATGGAAAAGTTGTTAAAAAGGAACGAGAAGAAGCTGACACCGTGGGACAGGCGTATGTTGGAACGATCCCAGAGACCAAGGAGGAGAAGAGAAGAATCAAGAGAAGCAAGAACCGTCCGGCGGAGAGCGACCGAGACCGGGCCGTAATTAACATTCCTCAACGGTTGCCATCAGTTGCCGCGCGTCTTAGAACAAAGATATCCGCGTAGATATTGTGTCCGCGCCGGTTCGCCCTCTGTTCCTATCGGCGGTTTCACAG